TTAGAATCACAGGATAATTTAGGAAGGCACTTCATGGAGGTCATACGGTCCAAGGCCCTCTTCAGAGCAGGCTACCATTGAAGCTGGCTCAGGTGACTGAGTTTTGAATACCTCCAAAGATGCAGATTTCACAGCCCCTCTAGGCCCATTTCAGTGTTTGACCACCGTCATGAGGAACAAGTTTTCCTTATTTAAGGAGAGTTTCTGTTTTTGAAACTTTTGTTCATTGCCTCTTGCCTCATCAGTATCTAGCTCCACAGAAATCCAGCTTTGTTTTCTCTGTAGCCTACTATGAGGTACATAAAGACTTTTAAGACTCCTCTTTTAGCCTCTTCTTTGCAGGACTGAACCAATGCAGCTCCCTCTGCTTTTCCTTGTGCATTGTGGACTCCAGCCCCAGACCATCTTATCATCCATCCACTGGAATTGCTTCACTTTGTCAATGTCTTTCATGTGCTGGAATGCCTCAAACTGGACACCAGTATTCCAGGCACGTTCTTACAACTGCCAAACAGAGGGGAATAATCCCTTCCCTTGACCTGCTAGCTGCACATGTACTAGTACTGTCAGTATGCAGTTAGCTTTCATTGCTGCAAGGGCACACTGCGTGTAGCTTGTCCACCAGGACCATGGAGTCCTTTTCTGCAGACCCAGCCAGTCAGTGCCCAGTACCAATACATGGGGGTTATTTTGTACTGGGTTCATTTGCATTTCTTGAACTTGATAATGTTGCCATCAGCCCGTTTCTTCTGCCTGTGTGTCTGTGGGTAAGTGGCATGTGAGAGTGGGGTGGGTACAGCTCTATTCGTATGGCAAAACTCTTAATGTAGACAAGACCCTCTGTACTGTTCTCATCTCTAGTTTGAACTGCATGGCAATATTCTTGAGGTCCTTGCTCTAAATGTGTAAATGTCTCAGTTAGGATCAAAGGGTGACAATTTTTTTCCCCCTATCTTTTTCAAGGAATGGTCAAAGACTCTGTAAGAGAATCAGTATTTCAAGCATTTCTTCCAGTGCTGTTCTACATGGTCAGTCAATCACAAACTCCCAGGAGCTCATTCTAGGTTCACTGGCTCATGGGATTTCACTAAGCATCTTCATGTTTCTTAATTCGCTTAATAAATTAATCAGAAGTTGCAGCACAGAGCAAAATCCAACCTGAGGGGCAAGATTTTGAGCAATGGGATGAGACTGGATTTGCTTTAACAAAAATCCTTGCTCCTTTAGTTGCTGGTGAATGTAACTGAGAGATTAGCATTTGTCACAACTTGTGTCTCAAGCTGTGTACACATGTAAGCTCCATAGGCTCTTGCTGGTGTTACTGGCCATCAGCGTAGACGGGGAAGCTGAGGCAGAAAGCAAAGGCTGCTTAATACCCATCACTTGGGTCATTTCTGCCTTTATCATCAAATCTGGCAGTGCTGCGGAGCTGCCTGCTTGCTAAATCTCATTGTATCAACACTTAAAGCAAGTGATTAAAGAAAGATTAACATAATAGATGTAGTGTGGTTAGAGACCGTGGCCAGAAAATCAGTGAAGTATAGAAATTATTTATATAATTTCCACGCACGCTTGCTCTGTCTGTGTTCTGTTCTCAAAGCCCTAGGAATCCCATAGGTAGGTAGTCCTTACCTGGACTCTGTTCTCAAAGCCCTAGGAATCCCATAGGTAGTCCTTACCTGGATGTTTACTTTATTCAGCTCCTTGTTGAGTATGTATTGTACATCCTTAACAGTGGAAAATACAGTTGAAACCTCTCTTTCTCAGTTGAATAAAATGGTATGACAAATACCAGTGGCCTGATAAAGTCTTTGAATAAAGCTGTAGCCAATTTCTATTTAAAACACTCAGAGGAGTCGTTATTTTACTCACAGGCCACTTCTAAAGTTGGGCACATGCTGTGTTGTGCTCTTTTACGATGTATAAAGAAGTCTTTGCGCTCCTCTGGCTTTTCCTTTAGCCTTTTCTGCCTTGATTACTTCCATACGCAGAGGGTCTTTTGCAGACATCTGTGCAGCAGTCGGAGAGGGCAGCCAGTCTGGGAATGCGTCTTTGTGACACCTCCACCACAGCGCCAACGCTTGTTCCACTGTCTGGTGATTTCTGGCAAATTATTGGATCTGGATCAAAATTAATTTGCCAATGTAAAGGAAGGCGAAGACTTTGGGAGCAAAAGGCAGTCTTTTAGAGGCAGCCCCATTAGATTGGCTTAAATTCGTCTGAACCCAGCAAAGTGATGGGTTCGTGAAAGTCGGGAACTGGAACACTTGACAGTCAAGAGGGAAGAAAGGTTAGCGTCAGCCTGCGTTTGGATAATTTATTTTCAACAGATAAAGTCCCCATAATGTATAGTTTTAATAATGAAGGTAGAGCTGAACATCAATGCCACCCACCAAAAAGTCCAATGACATTTGAAACTACGACAAGTTTCAGTGGTCTTGATACTTTGGGTGATAAAAAAACTAAAAATCAGAGAATATGGCAGAGCCAGAAAAAATGTTTCTAGCTCTTTTTCATTGTATAAAGCACAAAATGCCCAATATCCATCGTAACTAAGTCCTTATCAGCTCACTTTGCACAAGAGAGCAGCAGCTGGTACAGATTTTGGTCACTTGTCTTACATTAGGTCAGATCAGAGTGCTGCGGCTGCTAAGATGGGAGAGCATAATGTATTTTAGTGACCCTAAATTCTTGGTGGGGACCACTCTGATGGAAAGGGCATGTAACTGGTTTTGTAGCTGAAAGTCGTGCACAGCCTCCCGTGGTATTACAGCCCCTCAGGTCCTTCCCCAATCCCATTTCCATAAATCTCTCCCATTGCTTGTAGATGTATCCAGGATTCCACTGTTGGAAAGACCATCCTTTTCAAAATGTAAAATTTACTCAGCTAGTTCAGCTTTATCATAGGCAGTTCAGAAGTGGAGGAGAAGGCTGTAATTTGATGGTTCTGATCACAGCTGAAACACCGAGTTGGTAGCATTGTTTGTTTTGGTTTTTTTATTTTACCCCCTTGTACAGATCCAAGTACTCTTACCACTTACTAAGGTGTGAGGTGGTCCTTGGGAATTAGCATCTGAATGAGCGTGTGCAAATGAGCTGCTCTGGTCTGTGATAGAAATGGTTCTTGAAGGAGTTATGCCTTTTGACTTGAAACCACATATACCAATAGCTGAGCAGGCGCTGGGAAATAAGTGACAGTATTTGGTTTGTCTGTGTGACCTTTTTTTGTGCCACAGTTCTTCTTGAACATTGTTATATTGAAAAGATATAATTGGAGTAATATATTACAGGGGAACAGCAGTGATAATAGTACTTAAATCTTTCATGATTTTATGAAGTCACCTTTTTTCTTTTTTTAAATGCTGTTCGTTGGGCGGTAAAACTGCTGGAAGCCTTGCAAGGACTGCAAAGAAATAAAACCCGGCACAGTGAAAGACTTTCAGTACAATGCAAATGTTGATCCCTTAAAATCACAAATCATCTTTCTATTAATTCACTGTAGAATAAGGTCTCCTCAAGATAAGACTCAGCAGTGCTGTGGAGTTGGTATTTCAAGTATGTCCATCTGCATCTAAACGAGTAGCTCCAAGACAATCAGATTATGCAGTAGTTACTTCGGTGAGAATATCGCCTAAGTGGAATGGAAACTTCATTTTGAGTCTAATATTAGACCCTGCTTTGGAAAATTCCTTTTAAATGATCACAAGCTGGGAATAGCAAAAGAATTTAACTTTCGACAGACAGCATTCACCAAGAATTTGTTTTTAACTGCTTATGTTGAGTCCCTGGGAAAGCAGATGTGAAAAACTTACCAAGTGAATTGACTTGACCTGATGCAATGTTTATATCAGTAGTTGATAAGTTTTCCTCCCTCGTCTAATTTGTTCAGGATATTTTCATTCTTCAAGCATGAGTAAGCCTGGGTTGGAATAGTTTGAATGCTTGTTAGTCTAATAATCTGAATCTTAAAACATGCAGACTTTATTGCCTATAAAGGGGTCTAAGCAAAGTTGAACTATTTTGGTTGTCTTCCAGTGGGGATGGGGATAAGCGTCGTTTCTGAGACTAGCAATGAAGAACGTGAGACAATGTTGCTTACCTCCTGATAGTTCAGGAAGCATATTGATATCTGCTGTACTTACGCTTCAGAATGCCACTTGTATTTGGTGAACCCTTTGGATGCACGCTACTTTTGATGCAGCTTTACAAAGGACCGGCTTTCAATGGCAGCTAGGGAAAGTGGCAACCAAGGATATCAAAGCAGAGTCAAAGGGTCATGATATTATTATTATTCCATTCCTGCAGAAAGGACTTTAGGAATTACAGAATATACTGTGAGTGAGGGATCTGTAGAGCCACTAGTGTATCTCATCTTAGCTTTTCTCTTTGTTGATCAGACGCTGTCACTTTGAATATTTCAATTAACTCCTAAATAAGCCCCCCTACCCTCCACCGCATAGAGCACGTCTAAATAAATTATTTTTGAGGGACAGAGGAGAAAAAGAGAAACTCATGGATTGGCCTGACCTCTTCTCCCCAGCTCGTCCCTGTCCGTGTGCCTCTGTGGTTTGGCCATTGTAGCTGTTGTTTCCATGCTTGAGGAGAACATCCACGGAGCTGGCTGCAAAGGACGGCTCCAGCCTGGTCTTCCTCTGCCAGTGCATGAGGCGAGAAGTGGAACAACTGTCAGCAAGATAATATAATTAATTCAATGCTGGGATGACAGTTTCACTGGGAAAGATATAAGAAAGAGAATGCTGATCTCTTTAGCCGTTCTCCTTTAGTGTGTTGGGTGGATTTATGTGACCCAGGAATGCATTTCTCAGACAGAAATCAGATTCTGATTTTAAGCATCTGTTAACTTTGCCTCTTTTTTTCATGAAGCCTGACAGCAACCTTTTTTTCTTTTTATTTATACCTATGTGTCTATAATTCTGCTATGATTTCTGATCTTTCAGGAATTTCTAAAATGTCTAAATTGCTGATCTGTCTCCTTGCAGGCAAGTCTCACCTGGCTATAGTACAAAGAGTAAACAATGAAGGAGAAGGGGATCCTTTTTATGAAGTCCTGGGAATTGTCACTTTAGAAGATGTGATTGAAGAGATCATCAAGTCTGAAATTCTGGATGAAACAGATCTATACAGTGAGTAGAAATATTTGCACTTTTTTTATAGACGAAAGGGAAGACTCCATCCAGCAGCAGCTGTGTTTAATGGCTGTGTTTTGAGAGATGTTAAATGCTGATTTAAAATCTCAGTGGTCAAATGACCTGCAGATCCCTCAGGTGGTCAAAGTAATTTTTGTTTGCGCAGGATGGGCACATCACCCCTTTATGCTGTACTAATTCAGAAACAGGACAGGTTTCTTTATCTGAGCCTTCCATCAAGAAGGTTTACATCTGCAACAATCTGGTCTGTCCTGCTAGCTGTTCCCCACCACAGTGGCCTTACTAAACCTTTTTGTTACAGTGCTCACAACCTCCCACATTTTCCTCTAACCTCTCTCCACCTCGAGGGCCTGTAGACCGTGTACTACCGCACTTAAGCAAGCAGGCAGGCAAATACTTAAGGGAGGGGAATGGAGCCTCCTTAGAGTCTCTGTCGCTCATTCAGAAAACCTGAGAATGGGAAGTCTTCTTCAGGGCTGAAAACCAGCATGTGCAGAAAGGACTTTAGGAATTACAGAATATACTGTGAGTGAGGGATCTGTAGAGCCACTAGTGTATCTCATCTTAGCTTTTCTCTTTGTTGATCAGACGCTGTCACTTTGAATATTTCAATTAACTCCTAAATAAGCCCCCCTACCCTCCACCGCATAGAGCACGTCTAAATAAATTATTTTTGAGGGACAGAGGAGAAAAAGAGAAACTCATGGATTGGCCTGACCTCTTCTCCCCAGCTCGTCCCTGTCCGTGTGCCTCTGTGGTTTGGCCATTGTAGCTGTTGTTTCCATGCTTGAGGAGAACATCCACGGAGCTGGCTGCAAAGGACGGCTCCAGCCTGGTCTTCCTCTGCCAGTGCATGAGGCGAGAAGTGGAACAACTGTCAGCAAGATAATATAATTAATTCAATGCTGGGATGACAGTTTCACTGGGAAAGATATAAGAAAGAGAATGCTGATCTCTTTAGCCGTTCTCCTTTAGTGTGTTGGGTGGATTTATGTGACCCAGGAATGCATTTCTCAGACAGAAATCAGATTCTGATTTTAAGCATCTGTTAACTTTGCCTCTTTTTTTCATGAAGCCTGACAGCAACCTTTTTTTCTTTTTATTTATACCTATGTGTCTATAATTCTGCTATGATTTCTGATCTTTCAGGAATTTCTAAAATGTCTAAATTGCTGATCTGTCTCCTTGCAGGCAAGTCTCACCTGGCTATAGTACAAAGAGTAAACAATGAAGGAGAAGGGGATCCTTTTTATGAAGTCCTGGGAATTGTCACTTTAGAAGATGTGATTGAAGAGATCATCAAGTCTGAAATTCTGGATGAAACAGATCTATACAGTGAGTAGAAATATTTGCACTTTTTTTATAGATGAAAGGGAAGACTCCATCCAGCAGCAGCTGTGTTTAATGGCTGTGTTTTGAGAGATGTTAAATGCTGATTTAAAATCTCAGTGGTCAAATGACCTGCAGATCCCTCAGGTGGTCAAAGTAATTTTTGTTTTCGCAGGATGGGCACATCACCCCTTTATGCTGTACTAATTCAGAAACAGGACAGGTTTCTTTATCTGAGCCTTCCATCGAGGTTTACATCTGCAACAATCTGGTCTGTCCTGCTAGCTGTTCCCCACCACAGTGGCCTTACTAAACCTTTTTGTTACAGTGCTCACAACCTCCCACATTTTCCTCTAACCTCTCTCCACCTCGAGGGCCTGTAGACCGTGTACTACCGCACTTAAGCAAGCAGGCAGGCAAATACTTAAGGGAGGGGAATGGAGCCTCCTTAGAGTCTCTGTCGCTCATTCAGAAAACCTGAGAATGGGAAGTCTTCTTCAGGGCTGAAAACCAGCATGTCCTAAACGACTTCTCTTGTTATCGCTCAGTACAGCTCCTTCCTTCCTTTATGTTAACATATGTTGAGGGAGACAATGCTGCAGGTCAGCCATTACCTGGGACTTGAGAGATCGGGCCTCTTTTCTTTCCCAGTTTAGAGTTTGTCTGGTCTTTGGCCAGTTACCTAAAGTGTCTTTGCTTCTCTTCCCAGCTGCACAATCTGGCCTGTGCATGCGGGACTTCCTTTCTGTCATTCTTCATCGCTCTTGCCTGTGCTTTGATCACGTGCTGGCAGATGCTGTTCTTTACTATGTGTTTGCGTGTAGCACAAGGATGTCTCTAGATTCTGCTGTAATAGAAATAATAGAAATAATAATTTTAAATATCTTTAACGCTGTTCAGCTATCCTTTGCTTTAGTTTTCTTTCCCCATGAAAGCGTTCTGAATGTTTCTACAGCATCTCTTTCAGGCCAATACAAGCATCTCCTATCCTCCCTCCAAGCCAAATGAGCACTTTACACTGTGGGATAGACATACTTCTACTTGTCCTAATAGGTTGTTATTGCCTGAACTGCTTTCTGTAGCTGGTCGGTATTTATGTGCCCAAAGGTTCATGTAAATCACGGTTATGTTTTATGATACGCTAAACAGTCTAATTACTATGCAAATCACAGAAGTCCAGTTAGTATCAATTTCTTTTCATGCCTTCACAAATGAATTGTTGGGCTAATCAGTTACAACATAGGGCTTTTACAGGGTGAATTCAGACTTTCTTTTATACTCCAAAAAGATCCTATTTTTGTCTCCTCACCTTTGAGGTATTTCCATGTTTCTACGAATGAAAGGACATTGCATATGCTTTTCAATGTTGTTTTTTTTCCCTTTTTTGATAAGAGAAACCACATAGATCACGCTATGTTGTTCTTCAGGACAAAAAAAAAGCTTTGACCATTAATAGCGTGTTAGAGGGCAGGGAAATGAGAATTTAATTTTACTATCTGAAGACTTCCTAGATTAACAAAATAGAGCTGGTGAACAAGATTTCATTTGAAACTCTCCTTCCTGGGAAGGCTTTACTACTGAAAATTCCTGGTTCAGAACAGGAGAGAAACATTACTTCCTAGGCTTCCTGGAGGACGCAGGAAATTTTGGGGGATGACTCCTGCTATGTACCATGAAGATGAACTTCTAGTTTCTATATGAAGCACTGGAGTTCATTCTGCTGTTTAGATTGAAGAAAACTGCAGCAGTAAAGGAGAGACAGCAGAAATCTGGAGAAGCTGCGAGGCTCACAGAAAATGTGATAGGTTTTGGATTCGGGCAGCCTGCTATGCTGTAACCACTTCCAGTTGGTGTAGTGATGGGAACATGCTTTGGGTTTACTGAAGGTACGTTATTGTCCACGGTATGTTAAGGCAGCTCGGTTTTGATGTTGATATCAGTGTGTCAGTGCTAGTAACCCTGTCTAGTACTGGAGTGCTCTGATGCTGTTCATTATAAGACCAAGCTTGAAACCTTTGGACTGATATGCTCTGTGCTAGGTGTTCGCTTAAAAGTAGACCTTATGAAATCTTTTGGCAGTGTTGTTATGCATTTGTTCTGAAGCTTTAAAAATGCTTTGTTCTCCTTGATGGAAACTTGAAATTTGATGAAATGGCAGACCTTGGTGTTGGAGCTGTGCCTTTCTGCCGTTTCCATGAAAATCCATTTGAACTGTGTTAGGGTAGAGGCAATTGTATATTTACAGTTTTTGCTGAAAGCTGCTCTCACTGCTGAAGCTCTGCAGCTGAATTTTTTGAGGGTTGTGCACCCAGTAAATGTGTGGAATTTCTTCAGGTTGCTCTAGTCTGCTATGTCTTATGGCTTGCAGAGATGTCAGGAGCAAGAAGATGGGAGCGAGAAAAATTGTTAAATATGTCTGACCTATCAACGTCTGGGTAGACTTGAGTACTTCTGAGCATGAGATTTTGTATTGGGGATGCTGATGGGGTGGAGAGAAGGGGTTTCTATCATGGCACAGGTAGGCTCTGACTACATCTCAGCCAGCATCACGATGAAAAGCTGTCAGTGCATTTGGTTCTTAGTACTGGAAAGCTGGAGCATTTTTTCATGGTTGACGCACTACAGGAGTCTGTCCTGCACTCCCACGGCCCTGGCCATGGTGGGGGAGCATTTCTCAACCTTCTCAGAGGTCCAAGAGAGAAACCTGTATGTTCTACGTTGGCCTCCGACAGAGTGCACTTGAGGAACATGGAGTTCACCATTCTGACCTGGGTTTGACTAGTAGCCTGTCCTATTTAGCTCTTTCTAATTGAAGACGAGTTTAATCCTCCCCTTAGTGCAGCTGAAATGCTGCTGGTTTTCACGCACACAGATTCAAAGAGGGTTCGCCCCACGTAAAATCTGAGTTTTTTCTACAAATGAAATACCTTGATGTGCACCCTTGTGCATATGTTCTGCATGCTGCGGATAAATAGTCTGGTTGTAAGCATCAGCTTATATTGCATGTTTACATCCCTACCTGCGTACTGCTCAGCAGTCTGCCTCGGCGGATGCGACCCCCGGCAAGCCCATGCTGCAGGGGCATTCAGTGCCAGGCCATGGGGCACATTTGTTAGAGCTGCACTGCTGCAGCCACAATAGCTTTCACCTAATGATTTTTTTTTTTTGCCTTGGCAAGTCACTTCCCTGAGGGGAAGACCACATCTTACCCGAACATTCCAATTTCCAAACAGCTGTCAAAGCAGGTATGTTAAATACATGTGCTAGTAGTATCACTTGTCCCATTTAAATCACGGAGCTATGGGAATAAAAATCCTTTGCCCTTCCTTATAAGTATTTCCACTGTCATCCAGTGAAAGTGTAACAATGTAGAAAAGGTTTTGGCAATGCTGATTTGTCTGGCAAGACCTACAGATATTGACATAGTATACATCAGTGTCCTAACGCCAGGAGACCAGAGCTTTGTGCAGCTGGAATCTAATCTTTAGATACACCAGGGTGGTTGCCACCCATGAGAAAATGATGCTTTTACTTTGCTGGCCATTAGGACTGTGGACTTGTTAACCTTCTGCTGCCTAGCACCAGTAGGCTGTAGGAGCTGCGTCTTTATGGGGAGCTATTTTAGGCTGTTTAAGAGGTTTAGTCCCGCTGACTTTCTGGTTTTTGCCAAAACATGTGTGGTACGCAGGGCAACCTGGTTTTCCCAGCTAGGGACAAAAAGAACTGGCAAAACTAACTTAGTTAATTCCTAAACCTTCCTTTTAAAATTAAACTCACAGGCTTAAGACTTGTGCAGTGTATGGGGCATAGGCTGTCAGCCTGGGTGTGTGCATCGCTGGGGGGAGAGGGGACGTGGGGGGCATGCTGGTGAGACCCTGGCACCCACCTCTGACTGCCTTGGGCTAAGCATCCTGGGACTCAGTATGGGCACAGGGCCAGCGAGTCTAGTCCCCTGGGAATTGTACTTTCTTTTCCTGGAGTATCTGATAAACACACATCTCAAGCAGTTGCTTGTCTCTGTCCTTGTACAGTTCCTGTGTACCAGACAGAACCACACTTCTATTTGATAAAATATTTTTGTCCTCGTTCTCTTGTCTGGAGCTCACTGCAGATGTCTATTCTGTCCTAAAGACAAAAGGAGCACGGGAAGAGAACAAGAACCTTCCCAGAACATTTCTGGGTGCATTTGCAAGGCCCATCAGCCTGCTGCCTGCCTGCCCGCCCAACTGAACGGGTGATTGGAGGTTTGAACTCCCTGTCTCCAGTCCAAGCTGGCTCCTTCAAGAAAATCCACACAATCGCCTCTGGTGTTCCGCATCAGGCCTGGAAGTTCAGGAATATAACAAGAGAGATCACAACCTTACTTATATTTGGACCCATCCTCTTCTTGAGTTCGCTCCATCAGCCCAGGAGCTCATGGTCAGCCTTGCTGCCTTTGATTTGAAGGAAAAGTCTAAATATTCCCAGAACCTACTAAAGTTGCAGTATTTGTTGATATCTCACCAAAAGTTATAGTGAGGGTATCCCTCATGCATCACATAGTTCTTGTTGCAGAACCAAACAGCATCACAGCACTCTGTAGGCAGAGATCGCTTCAGCTTGCGAAGATAACTTCAGTGCCCAGGTCTCCATCTCACTTACTGTAGAAAGGGCAGACAGGAAATACCTGGTCCAGATTAAATTACTTCTGTCACCATCCAATCCTTGCTTCCTATGTCTTACAAGAAGCTCAGAAGTTGTTTGGATAGCACAGAACAATTAAGACCATCTCTCATGAATAGAAGCCAAGATAATGGCTTTAAGCCTTATGGGTCTGCTCTCACTGTGTAACACTTTTCTTGGGGGAAGGTTTCTGGACAAACTGCCAAGGAAACAGTAGGAGGAATTGAAATCACCCATCATTCGCTTAAGAACCTGGATCTCTTACCTTGATGACTGATGCAGATGGAAAGATTTAAGGCATCCTCCCATGGTGTGATGCTGGCCCTGTTTTCAGGTACCAGAAGTGCAGTGTGTAGCCTGTGGTGGTACAGCTCATTCACAGGAGAAACACAGAGATGCTTTACTGCCCTGCTGAAGAGGCATTTCCCCATTTCCCTCTCCTACGGCCAAAACTTGTACTTGTGGTGATTTTTGCCTCCCTGATGAGAGCAGTGACGGAGCTCCTTGTGAGAAAACATTTTGGCCATAGCATTGTAAAAAATAGCATTCTCTGAGCTCTGAGAAAAAGCACAGTTTCTTTTCCTCTTACCTCTTACAAGGTAGTGAGAGCTTCTGGGGGACTTTTCTCCTATTCACTTTCTATTGCTTTGGTATCCATCTTTCCTTCAGCTGCAAGTACAGATAAGGTCTGTCTCAGACTATATTCCTAAGGCAGGGATTGTTTTTAGCCTGTAACCACTCCCTTGGGTGGTTTCTATTCCTGCTTTTGGAAGAAAAACTGCAGTCCCTGATGTAGTCCAGGTCCTGGGTAAAGTACTACTAGGGTAATAGGCTTCTGGTTTCAAAGAAGAAAAAGGGCATGTGTCATCATTGTTCTTCTCCATGTGCTTGGGAACAAGTATCTCAAATTTTCTGATTTGCACTGCTCACAGAATGAGCTTTAGATATCTAGTGTAGATATGTTAGATATCAGTACAGTATTGCTGTTGAGTCTGTCATGGTCCTATAGTGGAGGCTTGTCCGTGGGAAGCCGAGGATCTAAATGTATTCCTATCTAAAGTCTAGGTGACTTGGGAAAATCTTTCTAGAAATCTGTTAATTACCAGTATTGTGCATTTTCAAGCCCCAAACTCAACCTCTCTGAGCCTTCTGTAGTCTGTAGCATATAATTGGACACCTACAGGACTCCAGATCTCAGTGGCTTCCTTGCTATGGTACCTCACTTTCCTCATCCTTGTACGCAAACCCAAAATCTGGCAACAGCTACCTGGGGGTGTGTGTGAGGTTTCACAGTGTTAACCTCACCTCCACCACTTTGTGTGCTTGCCTGAATTCTCTGCAGTGAATCAATGTACCAGAACTGCCTGCGGTCCCTCAAAAGTACAGTCACTTTAATTCACTGACTACGTGTCTGATAGACAAGTAGCTATAGTGTTTGCAATATCTTTCCCCACTAAAGTCCTAGAACCTGAGCCGTGCCTTAGGTCTGAGGGACTCAAGACTTGGGTTTTCTGCAATATACGGTGGAGCTCAGAGCTGTCTCACAGCATTCTGCTGCTTATAGCCAATGCCACCTTACGCACTGTGTCAGCAGAGAAGAGGAAGACCCTGCCATCCGAGCAGAGACCTCTTCTCCCTGGAATTGATGTATACCGTACACCAACCTGTTCTCCACTTACCTGGTTTCCTAGACATTTTGGCAGATTAGCTCGGTGGGTGGATGATAATAGCTGCGTTGTTTGTGCCTCTGCAACTCCCATCTTTCACATTGTCTCTCACAAATGGGGATTCCCCATCACAGAGCTTAAGACACAAATGAACCAAGTGGCAAGTACTTAGCTGGGTAAAGGAGAGGAGTCCAGGATCACCAGCAGGTGAATTCCCATATCTGAACTCCTGAAGCTACTCCATAACTCATTCTGGCTTCAGTGCCTGTAAAGCAGCCTGAGATTCCCACCTCCAGGCTGTACACCTCGTCAGCCATTGGGAGTGATTTGGACGAAAGGCATGCAGATTTTGCCAAAGCTGTGAAGAATCAGTGAAGCCGTGGTACAGCATAAGAAATAAGTCATTGTATATTTAGTCTATGTACTTGCTGGGAATTTTCTAAGGAATGTATATGAAAAAAGTAGCTGTCAGACATTCTTGTAGAGCAACACCTTCTGATCGTTAGTAACGCTGAGCAGGACTCCTCCTCTCCACCTGGAGATGCGTATGCACCTTATGTGTAATACGCAGAGCCGCTCTGCAATTAGATGTTTGCAAGAAGTGCAAACTGAAGTGACAGAGAAGTGACAGAGACCGGGTGCCTGGCTCTGCAGGCCAGGGGCTCACGGCCGGTGAGCCCGCAGCACAGCTCGCTGGTTGTTTCTGGTTTGTGCTGCGTGCCGATGAGCAGGGCTTTGCGCGTACTGCAGAGGGGTTTGTCTGCACGCTGTGCTCTGGGTGGCCGTCCTGGCTGGCTCCATCCAGCGCGGTTCGTGTTGGACCCCGTTCTAACAAAAATCGCTTCCTTCCTTTCTTTTCCCACCCTCCCTTCCCCAGCTGATAACAAGACGAAAAAGAAAGTAGCTCATCGGGACAGGAAGCAGGACTTCTCTGCCTTCAAGCAGACAGACAGCGAGATGAAGGTTAAAATATCACCGCAGCTCCTCCTGGCAATGCACCGGTTCCTGGCAACAGGCAAGTGCGGGTTATCTTTTTTTTTTTTTTTTTGCAATCGTGCCAGAGCCTCGGAGGCAGTTTGTCAGCAAAGGCCGGTGAGGTGGGTGGGACAGTGCAGGCGGGAAGGGAGGCTGGATTGTGGGGTGACAAATAATGCCACTGTTGTGTTTTTCTTTTTAAATTCTCTCCTCTCCTGTGTTCAGTGTCGGCATGAACCCTCTGAGACATTTACCAGGGGTGGACCAGTAACTTTAAATTGGTCTGAAAGGTAAGGATGAATGCCAAGTGCCGCACTGCATGTCTAGAGTCCGTCAGATTAACGACTAGCAAGTACACCCCATTAGGAAGAGCTCAGGGAACAAACCAAAGAGGACTCGATACCACTGGCCAGCTGACTGTAATTGCACTCTGGCGCCTTCTCCAGAAAGAGATGCTGGACTTTTTGCAGGAAGGTCTAAACCTGTTCCATGAGACTTTTTGACTCCAAGTGAAAAACTCTCCCGACACATTTAATGCAGACTGCACAGGCGGTTGAACTGTACTTTTAAAAATGGATTTCTGGCTGGCTTGTATGACCTCCGTTGATGACTTCAGGTTTCAGAGGACAGTTGTCTCCATCCCAGAACACCTTGATGTTTTAGCCTTTGGGTGAGCAGTCTGGCAGAGAAGCCAGGGCCTTGAATGATTTCTTGCAGCTGATATTGCCTTTCGTCGTAAAGTTGGTCCCTTCACCTCAGAGATGAGACCTGTTAACAGGAGAGCTTGTGGAAAACATACCTTCCTATTGCTCATGCTGTCTCTCTTTGACATATAAAGACTTCTCACACGCAGGCCTTTCAGATGGGCGTCTTTCACTGCTATGTTCAACATATATTCATGGGTTGAAAATGATAAAGTTATTTTGTCTCAAGTTTGCCAGCTCCAGTTGGAAATTAGTACTTCCCCTCCTCTAAGATGCAGTAACTGCCTGCCTAGATGCTCCTAGTCCGCCTTCATGCTTTATTTTGCCTCTGTGACTTGAAAGAAACGTGTACATGATCGGTTATCACATCTCAGCTGAGGGGCAGTAATTCCTTAAAAGGCTTGGACTCCTACGGCTCATGTGCACATGAGCATGTCCTTGGTGAAAGGAAGCAGTTCAACAGGAAGATGTGGATTTAACAGCAAGCAAGGCGTTGTTCCTGTAGTGGTACAAGACTTGATGGAGTTCCCTAAACACCTGCTCAACAGACATAGTCTTACGGTGCTGCTTTTCTACTTGTTTTGTGGATGAAAGGATTTTGTAGCTTAAATCCAGGTCTGCTTGTGAAGCCACTGCTAAATAAGATGAAAGCTACAGTTTTGGTTTCTCTGTTCAAAATTGAGAATAGTATCTTTAGCAGATGAAAGGTACTGGGTCGTTAACAGTCCTGTTCTGAAATGAGGTGTTAGGAAAGCTTATCAATTTGCATGTGCAAATCTCGACATCCCTGGCTTAACATTCCCACAGAAGGATGAGTTTTTCCTCTTCAAACAGCTCCTGTTGGGAACACTGAAGAGCAAGTGGATAGGAGATGTGTTCTGTGTGTCAGGCATTAATCCCACATGGTTTGAACTGACCTGCACTGTCTCTCACTTTGAGTAACTCTTCCCATATGAACTGTGGCAGCCCCAACTATGTCTTTGATTTATGTAGAGCATCTATCTAGAGCAACTTTCTAGGCCCCAAACAGTGATTTTTTTTTTTTTTAAGTGCAATAAATGCAGTAACTTTAATACCTTCTGAGGAAGGAAAAACAAATTCAAAGGTTCTCTGTGCCCCAATTCTAAAGCTCTTCTATTTATACAACTCTTCAATGAGCCTATACAACTGTGACTCTGAACTCTCAAGAGGGCAAGACTGCCTTTTTCTTTTCCCTTTCAGATGGAGACATGGTTTTTTGTTGTTTTGAAAAATACTTCAGTAATGAAAGTTGGAGCATTCCTGGTTTTTTCCCCCCTTACAAATCTAACAGTCTCAAAAGACAGGAAGCCTGCAATTCCATAATGGATCTCTCTGCATCTGTGTGTCTTTTATAGGCAAATGCTTATTAACGAGTATTGCTAACTTCTTGCCAGGCATATGAAGTGTAATGCCAAGTTGTATCTTGTGTTATAGAAGTAGAAGCATTTGGTCCATCCCAGATGTCAGAGAAGATCCTTCTCAGGCTGCTAAAACATCCCAACGTCATCCAGGAGCTGAAATACGACGAGAAGAACAAGAAAGCCCCAGAACACTACCTCTACCAGCGAAACAAGCCCGTCGACTACTTTGTTCTCATTTTACAGGTCAGACATGTGATTATGTAGATATGTGCAAAATCCTTCATCTCCTGACATATCCCTCTCTATACCTCTTCCAGTTGTTGAAGTTTATCTTCTTTCAAACATGGGAACAGAACTATGGCTCCTGGGAACTGCTCCTGCCTCATTTATGACCTTGCCAACCTTGAGGAGCTCACTCAGCTGCTTTCAGCTTCAGTTAAACCAGTTGTGAAGGGTAGACAGCACTTCCCGCTTTCAGGCATCTGTTGAAAGTTACTTATGCTTTAGGTATCACTAGGATAGGCAATGTAAAGGTATCCCTGCGTACAGCTGGCATTGCTTGGAAAACAAGTTAAAAAAAATGGCACGTCATAGGAGTTTGGCCAGGATGCTTTCTCTAATGCATTTTTTCCTTTTGCAAAAGGAGGCACAGGGATTTTGACAGTTTAGAGAAATTACGTTTTTCTGTGCAATTTTGAAGCCTGTACCTTTGGTGCTCTGAGAAGCGCAGGTTTTGTTGGGGGCATTGCACCATCTACTGAACTGATGCCACCTCCTGCCACAGCCCCTGCGGTTCCTGGGCACCCTGCCATCCAAGCACTCGCCCTACCCTGAGATTGCTGCATGTAGGTGGTTTTTAGATTGGAGCCCTAGATGGTGTGGAAGGACTCCTTTCTGCTGGTTCTGTACAGGATTGCTTCCAGTGTTGGTATCTCCCAGGTTTTTTTACTTGATAGGAATGCTTGAATGGCTCGGTAAAGCTTTACACAGAAACTTAGCTTCCATCTCATACCATTTGAGCAGAAACAGCCCATTAAGAGAGATTTTGCTGGAAAGGTGCTTATGTTTCTATCCTACATAACTGAATCAGTTTGGGTTATAAAAACACAAGCATTGTAGCTAAAGTTGTAACACAGGGCTTGAAAACTTCCTTAAAGTGGCCTTAAAAAAAGAGGAGAGGTTTAAACACCCATCAGTGATAAACAATTAAGAAAGCACTGGAATATGGTATTGTGGATTCAATGTAAATCTCTTTTTAAAAAGGATCATTTTTTCCAAGGGTTTGAGGGGGCACTGGTAGCTCTTTAACTGCTCACTCTTACGTGTGAATTGTTGCAATCTGAAATATTCCAGAGGCAAGATAATGCTCCTGGATGAGGTAATGCTGCAAAGATGTAAATGGAGGACATGGGCGATACAAAAGAACAAACAATTCTTTCCAAGCCATTCTTCAATCAATAAATATTTAGCAAACACAACAGCTAGCTCTATAATGCATTTGGAAAGTGAGCTTGCAGTAGGTACATACTATAAAAATGGTAACAAGCTTGGTTCTGCAAGGATCAAGGGGGGATAAATACTCTGCTTTTGTTACTTAAATGGACTTGGACTTAATCTCTCATGTTGAGAGACCAAGGATACCTACACAGTAAATGCATACCAGAACACAATTAAATGTATATTCTGTGCATTAAATTTACCAATTTAATCTCTGTAGCGTTACTGGTTTAGCTGGAATATCACTTGTTTGCAACAGCTTTTCTCTTAGCTAATGGGAAGTTCTTCTGTAGTTGTTCAAGATTTGGTTTTGTCACTGTGTTTTTTCAAAATTCCTGTCAGAACATTAAACAGTGGAAAACCAGAAACCACATGTGCATGCATTTAAGCAGGGCAGAACACATCTACTAGCATGCATGGGGAATTCTTAACGGCTTTTCAGCTGCTGTGACTATGCCAAGCATGCCTGGTCTTCATATGGCCACCACTGGGAAGCTTGGAGGTGCCGCTGCCTGTGCTGATAGAGCAAAGGCCTTGGAACTGAAGCTCAAGTCCTACTACTAATTACTAGCTTGTATTTAGCTACTAACTCCAGACTGGCTGTAGGTGAAGATCAAAGCCTGGTCGTGTATGTGTTTTGGAGACCTGGTCTTGGCTGGCGAATAACCACCAGCAGTAAGTAGGTCGAGAGCTCCGTTTATAACCAGCCTTTGCCTGGGTGATGAAATCGTATCTTTTGGAAGGCTTATAATGAACAAATAAGCTACTTATTTGTGTTGTGGAGTGAAATTGGTTTTAAAAGGGATTATATGAAGTTGTTGCTTGTGATAGCAGGAAAGTGGATTTGTGAGCCAGGCACTTTCTTCCTGCTAGGTAGATTTTGTGGTTTTTCTCCTCTTGGACACTTAGACAAACTGACTTGGTATCAGGGCTCATGCAGGCTGAGTTAATTTTCATGTTTTTCTGGCCCAGTACAGTACTGTAATGTTAAAGGCATGATTATTTATTTTAAATGGTGCTTAATGAGATAAACACATAGAAATAAAATCTACCTTTTGGACTCATTTTGACCTGATTGTGTCCAGCTGATGTTCAGTCTACCTAGTACACGCGGCAGGGGCAGTCTGCCTGCCCTTGCCGGCCTAGCCAGAGGGAAAGCATTGCAGGGAATGATGTTGTTTGCCTGAAATCCCAACCTTTGTGTAGCTCAGCCTGAAAGCTGCGTGCGATTTCTTCTGTCTGCATTGGTGTGCTATAACTCTCCGTGCAGCACCAGTAAGGATGGATGGATGTGAAAGCCAGGCCCTACTAAGAAGTCTTTTTTTTTTGGGCTACTTGTATACAAAAGTAACTGGATGTTTACAGCTGTGTTCGATATAGTGGGTTCTGTTCTAGAGTCCTCTGTAGGATGTGATGTTAAACATTTGGTTCAGCCCACATCAGAAACGGGTGCACCTGGGTGGTAGTGTGGTTCTGTACAGCTTGGGAAGCACTGAGCTCCTTCTAGGCAAGACCCTGCGAAAGAGCAGGATCTTAAGTTAAGGGTGCTGGAATATGTAAAACTGCTGGAAACCAAGAAAACCAAAGTAGCCCTGAGACTGCTCCTTCAGGAATAAGGGCTTTGTTTCTGTGGGAATCTCACCGGTGAAGGCAGACAGCCTCCTCACGTGTTGTCTCCCATCTCCCTTTCCTATGTTGGTGCCAGAGGGGACTCTTCATGTGAATGTGAACTGTGGCCCAAAATGTCTAGGTGTCTCAAGACCCCAGATGACTACATATAAGCTTGTTGTGATACTGGGGGAGTATTTTTTCACTCTGCGTTGAGGGAAAGCAGCCTGGCAGCACTTGGAGCAGGGCAGTAGCACCACCCCGAAGCACTGTCGTGATCCTGCCCCTCTGCAGGGACTCACGCTGGCCACAGGGCACTGAAGACCAGGATAGCTCAGGGCACAAGAGCGTGTTCCCCTCCAGGGTCTGTCCCTGTTCAGGCACTGTTGCAAACTGCAGGGACCATGACGCTGCTTAGGAATGTCAGGCAAAACTAGCTTTCAGGGCTCAAGTCTGGTCTTGTGCCTCGAGACCTATGGTCCCTTTAATTGCAGCTCTCTCTCCTTTTCCTTAACAGGGGAAAGTGGAAGTGGAGGCTGGGAAAGAGGGGATGAAGTTTGAAGCTGGTGCTTTTTCCTACTATGGGGTGATGGCCCTCACAGCATCGCCAGGTATGTCCTCTTACCTTCTGCTTCTGGAATGCGCTCCTGCACAAGCCTGCCCATCCTGAGGAGGCTGCATAGGGCATCCCCCCCGCCATGTCCATGGGGTTGATGAAAATGATATCTCCTTGCCAGCGAAACTGCCTGCCTGGCACAGCATCCCTGGGACGGGCCCGGGCCGGTGGCAGCGGCCGACTCCAAAACCCAGCGGCTGGCAGTGGTTTGCCAGCTCCTAGAGGATGCGAGTGTTGGCCTTAGCCAGCAATGTGTTTGGTACTGGACAACAGCTTTGTAGTTTTGCTCACAGTAGGGTAACAGGGATCAAATTAATGGGAGTAAAATAATTAGTGGCAGAGGGACATCTAGTGGTGCAAAGCACAAACGCATGTGAGTTTGGTGATGGTTCACTTTATCAGTCTTGTTTCTAAAGCCGTCTTGAGGAAAAGGAGGGCAGCAGCGGAAGAAAAGCGATTGCTCCTGTCAGCTTGTGTGGAAATGTAACCAAGAAATCGGCAAGGGGATTGAACTGGTGTCCGAGGGCGAGGTGTGAGCCAGTTCCCACCGAGGTGTGAGTCAGTTCCTGGCACACAAGCGGTAGCCACGCAAGCCACCACCTCACAAGTGCAGGTTGGGGGAATTGTCTTGTAATCCACCAAGAGTAGGCTCCAGCGCTGTATTTCGGCATTTAGTGATGTATTTTGGTGCCAGCAGTGTCACCACTAAGATCTTGACCTCAACTGGGGATCCCCAGCCCCGTTGGGGAGAGCTGGGGTGCTGGTGCTGGTGTTGGCCATCGGCTGACCCAAAGCCGCTTGCTCAGCTTCAGGGAGAGACGTTTCTCACGCTGAAACCAGGTCCTCCTGTTGCAGCAGGGTTTGTGTTCCACTTGAGAAGCAGCTTCTTTTAGATGTGCGCTCATGAGCACTCCCTTTACGTATGTGTACCTATGTGTATGTGCATTAGCGAATAGTGTTGGAATGAAAATGGTTTTATAAGTTATGAGTATAGCCTTGTTAAACTTCACAGATGACAGCAGTTCTCTTGAACGTGTGAGCTCGCTTTTACAGGCAAGACTAATTCTTTCCTTGATTATATGCAGTTTAATTTGATCAGTCTTGCTTATACCTTTTGAGGCTTGACAGATCTGAAAATGTGTAGAGCACCGGGTGGATTTTATCTGAGCAGTAGCAGCAGCGTTCACGAGGAATCGTGACACACACATGTTCACAACTGCATCATACTCTCAGCTTCGCAGCTCAGCTTTTGCAGTATGGGCCAGGCACAGAGCTGGATTAGGCATGGTCACTTCTCCTACCAGACCTACACGTGGAAATCACTTGTGGCATCTCTGTTTTGCCAGCATTGCTGTTTGAATGTTTTCATGTTTTGGTTTTTTTGTGTATGTGTCTTGCTAACCCTCCCCACAACCATGCCAGTTGCCCCAAGTCTGTGAGGTCAAATGGCCTCCTCTTCACATGCCCTGAAATCCATCTTGGATTTTGTCATGTCAAACTTAAGGATGTGCACTATGTTAAATTATTCTCAGCCAACCTTGGATTTGTTCACCTTTGACTGCTTGGCTTTTACCAATAGGAAACTCCTCATTTTGCTGGCTTTGCCTCCAGATTTTAGAGAATTTGTTTTATGATGCCTTGCAGCATCCTCAGATTTCTCTTACGATGAGCTCATAAAAGTAAATTCCTGTTGCTCTGTGTAGACAGAAAAGCTCAGTGAAAATATAAGTCATTGCAGAACATGAGAAAAGTCCTGCTCCTCTGTGCGTCCTAATTAGCCTTCATGTGCCTGCTCTCCCTGTCTGGAATGTGAAGTCAGTAATAGGAGAGTAAAGCATTAAAAAAAAAAAAAACAAAACACCACAAACAAAAAAACCCACCCTAAAACCAAAACAAACCCCCTAAACAACAAAAAAAAACCCAACACAACAAAAGAGTGAAGCTTTTTTTCTTTAACTACAGCTGGGGAGGGACTTGCAGTTATGATGAGCAGTACGTTACCCATCCTGGCAGGGCTGAGCTTGGAGAATCACAACCTCGCTTGACATTTTACTGAAAACTTGAAGAACTATGAAGTGTCCTTTGGTTTTATTTCTGTTTTCATCTGACTCCCATAAGGAACGGGTCCCGTGAAAGCTTTCTGGTTTGTTTTAACTCTTTGCCTTCCAGGCTGGAGTGGGCACCACCGCTCCTTTTGAACTACTTTAAAACTGAGTGTCCCTGTGCTGGATAACCAAATTAGCAAGTGACAATTGTTCACTTCACTGTAATTCCTTAGGCTTGGGGTTTTTTTGTTTATTCCTAAAATTGTTTAATTGTCTTTTTTGGTTTTGCTTTTGTTTTAACCCTTTACTTTTTCACAGTTGATTTGCACTTTTGGTTTTAGTTCTTCAGTGTGTGAACTGGCTCCTTCCCCTGTCGAGTGTGGATAGCTGACGCCTTTCTGGTCGTGATCTCATCCTTTTTCTCTCCCTCTTCTAGTTCCCTTGTCCCTGTCTCGTACCTTTGTTGTCAGCAGAACAGAGTTGTTAGCAGCAGGTTCTCCAGGTAAATCCGCATGCTTCTATTTTCACCATTCTTGTGACTGCCCTGATGCCATAAAAACTCAGCTGCAGTCTGTATTTATCTGACCCCTTTACTCGTTAGGGAGAAGTCCAGCACGGACTTATGCCTCGCAGGTAGGTATCCTGAACTTTCATGTATGGTAACTGGTAGCAACATGACAGAGTCATCAAAATGGGAAGAACTAAAAACATGTTGAAGAAAGTGTATTCGGTAATGTGTGCCTGTTCTTGTTTCTCATATGTACGCTGGTAGAAAAGATTTTTTTAAAATAAGGTATTCTCCCCCAAGCTGAGGCTTACACATTTCTGAAGAAAATGCATTTGGCAGACAAGAATGTCTGCTGCTAAACTGCCATAAAAGGAAAACTTATTTAAATAAAGAATTTTTATATTCTCATATGGGTAAATTCTATGGTTTGTATACAGTCTGGCCATTTCAATTCCTCAAAAGCTTTTGAACTTTCTGTCAGTGAGGTTAATGCCGTGGACCAGCCCAGTCATTGCGTGGACGGATTTTCAATGGAATGTGCAAGAAGGATGTGGGACCTCCTGTGGGGTTCTCTAGTTCCCATTTTTCTTAAGACCTTTCCTTGCTGAATAACCAAGTTGACTGACAGAGAAATCCCTTTGGAGAGCAGAGACCAAGGAGGGAACAAACTGGGTCAAAAAGAGCTCTGAGGTGTGGTTGAGTGGTTGGAAATAGGGAAGGGTCAAGAACTGAGCTTTGCAGACACTGCACATACAGAGTGCTTGAGAAAAATGGAAACCCATCAAGAAAGTCTGTAGGAAGAGCAGAATCCTAAAATAGTTTGGGCCTCAGTGAACAGATTTCTTCCTTTTGAAGTTTTCTTTTTCAGATGAAATGTCTCTTCCTAGACCTAAAAGCAAACAAGATAATGCTATGCATATTTAAGTGAAACATCTCCTAAATGTTAATACATATCATGCGTTTCATAAACTTTCACCATCTGCTTCCCGTATTTTTCCTCTCTTCTTTTTTCACTTTTGAAAATGTATTTCACCATCAGTCCTTAAATTAGCCTCATGCACATTCCAAACAAACTACAGGTTGTTGCCCTGCAGGGGATTTTTTTCCTGCCCTGTTAAAGTTTCCTGCTGCTAAACTTCAAAGAAAGGGAGAAATTTAATCTTTCTTTAATTAAAGTACCTGATGGCTTTTTTTTAAGCTCGGTGGCTTTGATTATCTTTTTTAGCTCGGTTCTTTTGTTTTGCCAGGTCTTCTTTTTTTTTTTTTTTTTTTTCCCCCCTTTGCTTGCCACAAATAAGTGTATACTTTGCACATGCAAGTTGTTTCCAATATAAATCAATATAAATGCCAAGCATATTTTCCTAGCTTTTTCCCCAACTAAAAAAAAAATAAAAATCAATACTGGAAAATAATAGTGGGGAGAATCTCCTTTGAAAGAAACTGATATGGTAAGCCTGGTCGCTCTGACAATGTGGTACCAGTTCTGATGAAACTGGGATCTTCTGCTCGGTCCTTCTAAAAAAGGATCCTGTCGTTTAACCCCCAATTCATATACGATTGTATTGATTCTGTTTTGTGGTTTCTACTTTTTATCCCCTGTATAGGAAGGTGAGGAGTATGAGAAAACCTGGGTAGAAAAGGTCTGTCCAGATCTGTGCTGGCCTGCTAGGGGGCTGGCAGGGCACTGTTCTGCTAACACGGACCTGCCTGGTATTCGTCTGTCGCCTGCCCTTTCTGTATCCTTCCTTCTTCATTAACTTCTCTTCTCCATCCCGGACTTGTACGTGGTCCAGAAGTGATGTCCTTTCCCTCTGATTTTTTGTAGTCATACGTTTTTGTTCTGTCCTTTCATTTTACCTGTCCCTTTTAGTTCTGGGTTTTTTTTTTAATATATGCTTTGTCATGTTGCTGTCTGTCCTTCTTTGGTTTTCATTAGCAATGCACTATAAGAACTGGTGAAAAGAAAGGGCAGATACAAGTCACACCAGCGTAAAGCTGTTCCAGATGGAAGCCTTTATCCCGAGCAGCAGCGATGCTGTACTTGTCACACACAGCCTTATTTTGTGTATGCAGGTGGGAAAGACGGGACAAATTCACTCAGCCTTCACAGTTCCTTCTTCTCCAGTGGGAATTACGGCATCAAGCCCTGTGTGCAGGTAGAGGTTTGGCTCCTGGCAGCAGTTATTGCAGCCAGGCCTGCGAGATGGCAAGTCGGTATGGAGGAAAACCTTGCAGGGCTCCGAGTGCTTCCCCCTAAGCCTGTACTTGGTGTTGCCATAGGGACCCACGCTAATTCCATAGTGCGGAGATGGCAGAAAAATTGCCAAGTTGTCAGAACCTCTATTTTTCTGTTCCCTTTTCCAAAATTGAAGGAAAGACAACACCAGAGGGATTTGAAGTGGGAAATAAAAACCAGGGCAATTCTGCCATGCATCTAGAAGCATCTGAAGTGGTAGGTTTAGGAAAGGCTGGATGCAGAGGTGTGGAACAGGCTGTGTCATTTGGCAAGGAGAGATACAGTCATTAAGTGGCAGGGATAGGGTTGAATTTTAGGGAGCTTTTTTTTTTTTTTTTTAGAAATAAGTTCATATATAGAAAAGTCTTCAAAAAAGAATTTGAAAAGCTTGCAAGGATACTGTTGTGATTTGCTCGAAGAGGCTTTATATCTTAAGATTATATGAAAATATCTTTCAGCTGAGAGTGGGGATGGTGTGGTGAGTAGCATAGTTTACATCAAGTTTCAGCTTGGGCTGGCTGAATGAAATTTAACTCCATTAAGATCCCAAAATTCACCAGTTCCAAAGTCAGTTCTTTGATCAGTATGTACTGTGTGTGCACGCAGGGAGAAGCCCATCTGCGGGAGGGCTTGGGATCTCTCGTTTCTGCCCTCCAGTCTTCTGGGTCACTGTGTGGGTGGACGCCAGGGATGCAAAATGTCTGTGGCTTCCTGAGAGCACAGTTACTTGAGAGAAACTGTGGCCAGTCACACTCGCAGGGGACAGCGGTGAGGTTTTCACGTGCAACCCTGCAGTGCTTAAAGGCCAGTAATGGAAAACGATGTCTCTCGTTTAATCCTTTTCTGGACACAGATTTTTCTCTGTAGCATGGACTGTTTTCCCTGCTTTTCTGGCTGGCGTGTACCACATGGAGCTTGCTGTCCTTCATTGAGTTTTCTCCCCTTCAAGCAGTTGGGAGGTACTAGAAGAAATGTTGGAGTAATCATCAGGTGGACTGCACTCTGGTCCACTGAGGACTCTATCACTCTTACGATTTTGAAAATGTCTGCTCTAACTCGGGGAACGAGGCGTATGTACGTACTAGGTGGAATAAAAGGGTGTGAGGGTTAGCTGGGACTGACTGTGGATGAGTGGTCTGGTATGGAGTTACGATTATAAATCATTAAGGGAAAAAAATATCTATTAAGCACAGTCTGACTATCAAGAGCCTTGGGAAGTTACCTTTGTCTGGAGGTTACCACTCATCAGCTGAAGCAGTGTGACCAACTGTGCGCAGGGCATGTCCACTGCAGCATAGACAAAACCAGGTTTGTTTAAGGCAAACTCAGTGATGTCAGCTACCAGCTCTGGACTCAAAATGTGCTCTTTTCAGGGCAATTTTGTCGTTTAATTGCATGTCTAGTTATGAGTGGATTAAGTAGTTGCAGTTCTTTTGTGCTACATTGCAATTTATTATTGTCCCTTTGAAACTGGTGACTTTAAATGTTTTCTACTTGATTTAAGAAACCTCTTGCTCTTGCCCGTTTCTCAGCCGAAAACAAGTCTCCACCTCGGCCCTGCGGCTTGAATCACTCAGACTCTTTAAGCCGAAGTGATCGCATCGATGCAGTGACGCCAACGTTAGGGAGCAGCAACAACCAGCTGAACGCATCTTTCCTCCAAGTGTATGTTCCGGACTACTCAGTGAAAGCACTCACAGACATTCAGTTTGTCAAGGTAGGAAAAAAGCTGGAAAAGCCCCACTGGAAAGCTGGGCTTGGCTGGTAGGATGGAGAGCCTGGGGAAGGGAGGTCCCCTAGATTGCTCTGTGAGTAAATAAGATTATGAAAGCAGCTGTTTAAAAATCACTTGCAGTTACTTTTTTTTCCCAATAGCTGCTGTCCATTGATCTGTCTTCACTGTTCCTCTCATTTAGGTTTTTAAGTAGGTTGGTCACATAAGTTTCTGGATTTCAGGTCCCTCGAGGAAAGATTATCGAAAATAACCTTTCTCTGCTTTTAGTTATGAAAGGCATATCCTTCTGAAGCCTTTGGAGCCATCTGAAATGGAGACCCTTCGTTATCAGACAGTGTCCTTTTCTAAAGGATGAGATATTGTCTGTTGGTTGCAGTTTTTATTCACTTTCCATTTTGGTTTCAGTTTGGGGTTCTTGATCTTACTTTCCGACTTGTCATCCTTCTGCTTGGAGAAGTCGTGGACATTTCTCTTTATCTTAACTTCGCATGTTAGGCTCATGTCTCATACTACCAGTGAGTTGCTGCATGAGTACAGCTCTGTCCCCCAGCATGGTGCATCCCACGCTGAAATGTGTGCGAGTCCTGTGGGATAGGAAATCTAGCTGAGCTGAGGAACAGCTAATGCTGGCAGCAATTCCAGCCCCGCTGGGAGCCCAGGGAAGCTGACGTCCCATGGCCAGAAGTTGACCTTGATGCTTTTCCTAAATTAAGTGCACGTTCACAGTTTCTTTGTATGCAGCTTGAATGATTTGTGAACTCAAGTTCTGTCAAAGTTAATTCAGTATTAAGAATGTGGAATAGAGTAGAAATACTAGAATGCTAAATCGATCATTCTGTAGCCAAATTTTAGGAGAGTACAGTCTTGCATTCAAAACTTGACAGATGTAAATGTACTGGTGGATGGTTCTAGCCTTCAAGGTTTAGATCAGTAAATATTTAACACTGGGCAAGTGATTCTCACTACAGATTTCAATAGCTACTCTGCTGTACAGAGCAGCTGCTCATCTTATGCTGGTTTATGTGGAGTCCAACTATCACTCTGTCATACTGAGGCTAATGAATGCTAAACTGTCTGGTGTCTCTGCAGGCAGACTTGCACACCTCGTTTTGCATCACTCTGCTTTACACATAGGACAGAGTACTCAACATTACTGTTTTCACTGTGCCACGTGGGTGTTTACTCAGTTAATACCTTGTAAGCCAGGGTTGTGACCTGCTCATGCATGTTTGGGTTTTGCTTTTGGAGTTGTGACCTGGTCCATCTGACTCCCTCCATTTCCAGTCCCTCTCTTGCATTGCTACTGAAACTTAAGGTTTTCTAAAAGCCTGGTTTCACCTCTTCCACCTTCCTGCCTGCTGAGATCACCCACTGCTGTTGTAGCACGCGGGGCTGTCAGTGCACGTGCATCCCGCTGCCTGTCCTGGCTGAGAAGGTTGACCCAGAGGAGTTTACGGGGCTGGTCGCTTGTGGCTCCAGGAGGAATTCTCCCCTCTATTGCCAAATGCGGATATATGGGGCTATAGGCTTCCTTGCCTCTGGAGCATCATGGGCAGTAACACTCTGTGCTCTAGGCCAGCTCCTGTCATGACTGTTCCGCTGAGTGCAGCCAGCTCTTGCAGAGACCAGTGGAAGACTTCATGGGTTGCTAATTTGGACTCATCTCTATGGAGAACCCAGTCTTTTCTAGAATTGAACATCCTTATGGATCAGAATAAGGCTGTAGCTCCTGCTATGTTTGCTGGCCTAGACAAAAGCAGTAAGGCTTGTACCCTCTGGCTCTGCAGGGACTCTTAGAGCCTCACCAAGAGCTCACTGAAGTTGGGAGAAAGACTTCATTGAACTCTGGTTCTGGCCCTAAAAATGTGCATGGTTAGAAGGAAATGGAGATCTGATTGTAAAACCTCTGCATAGGAATAAATCCCTGCCTTTGAACAGCGTGGTGGTCGCACACCTCAGTGCTTCCACCCTGTCTGGAAATGTCACCATGCTGTGGTGTTGAGCTGGGAAGCTCAAGGCTTGCAAAGCGCGGGGATGTTTTATAGAAACAGGTAAATGGGGGTTGAAGTGCAATCATCTGGAAAGGGAGAGCACTTTATTTTATCAGTGTGTCCCACAGGAGACACAAAAGTGTGACTGGCTATTTTTGTTCCTTCCTTCTGTCCTTGGAGCAGATCTCAAGACAGCAGTACCAAAATGCCCTGATGGCATCCCGGATGGACAAAACACCTCAGTCCTCGGACAGTGAAAACACTAAAATTGAACTGACTCTTACGGAGCTGCATGATGGTTTGCCGGACGAGACAGCAAACCTGCTGAATGAACAGAACTGTGTGACTCACAACAAGCCCAACCACAGTATGCACAGTGAAGGAGCGATCTAGGAGCTGACTCCCCACAGCCCACCCATCCCATCTCCTCAGCAGGACCAGCCCTCGCTCCTTCCTGCCTCCTCCCCGAGTGTGAACACCGTTAGTATGTGCTTGCAACACTGTGCTGCATCCAGTGTTCTGAGACCAAAGACTTTTGCGTCCGTTCTGGGAGCAGAAGAGGAAGAAACAGGAAGAAAGGAGCAAAGAGCAAGACAGACTAAAGCCCCCAAGCGTACTTTGGGAATGGTGAGCCACCCTTGAGAACGATGAAAATACTTCTTGCAAAGTAGAATCATGTTTATTTTTTATCTGTATTTTTGATCCTTGTTGGGTTTTTCCTCCTCAAACACATAAGGAGAAGTTTAAAAGCTCCTCCAGTTATTTTTTCAAGAGAGATCATGTTTTTAAAAAGTATTTTGCAGAGTTTTAAATTGTTTCTGTCCCCCCTGAACCTCAAATGGGCTTTGTCGTAGTTTTGTGAATTGGCTCCAATGTCCTTAGGCCTCTCTTCACCCATCGCTGGTCCTTTTTGTTGCCCTGTTGAAAAAGTTAGTAACTGGTACTTGTATGTTATTTGTGTCCTAAGAATGAGCAAGCTTCAAGGAACCTCTGGTTTCAGCCACCTGGAGGGCCGAGGGATGAGTATTACTACATTCTTCCAGTTAAGTTTCAGGGAAGGAGTGGTTACTTTGGTATTTAATGATCTCTCAAATTTCAGAAGGTTTATTGGTAAAACAGGCAAAAGCGTTGTTACACTTACAGTTTTGTAACCTCCAAAACCTTTGTCTATTTTGAAGATGATACTGAAGGGGGGAAGGAGTTAATTAGCACAACTGCAGTCTCGTGAAATGAAAGCTGGGTGTAATTTTCCGTAGTGAAGTAACTGGGTGATTTTTCATTGATGTTCCTGACAATTGCATGGTGAAGTAATGTGCACACCCCAAAACGACAAGCTTTAAAGCACTCCCATGCTGTAGGGGTCTGCGCATCATCACCTTGGCCAGAGCAGATGTGCAGTCTTTGCTAAATAACAGGGAACACCAGTCCCTGTCCCCCCTTCAATCTCTAGTATTAACACACAAGATGCTGCTACACTTACACCCAAAGTACATCCTCCAGGTGACAGTAAACCTCTGCCAGCCCAAGGATGGGCTCTGCTGAGGAGTCAGGACCATCCTCTCCTCTCCAGGAACTGACAAAACTTTCCGGACGCGAGTGTATTGCACTTCAGGGATTCGGAAAGGTTCATTTCCAGGCTGTTCCCAGCCACATTCCTTCCTTTGAGTGGTTTTAATGCATTTCCTTCTCTCTTGCCCCTTTTAACAGCCATTTTAGGGATTACCATGGTAGCAGAGCAGAGAGCCTCCCCCTTGGCTGCTGCTAGTGCAGGGCACCCTGCCTTGGGCAGCAGAAACCAATTCCTCCACCCCAAAAACCTGAATGCAGATCGGGTGCAAGCAAGAGGCACCTCGTGGCAGTTGTGCATCACACGTTCCCCACTCCCACAGGTGGAGTCCAAGTCCTCAAACAAAAAAAAGTCCCATCCCCTTCGATACTCTCCCCTTCCAGTGCTGTCTCAAACAAAATGTGAACGTTGCATTGCCTTTGGTATCTGGAGTGATTAATAAATCAGGCCTTGCGGTTTTTCTGTTTCGAGACCCTTCCATGGCCCCTGGCTATGTAGCATTTCCCTTCTTTTCTTTACACTTTCGTAATCTCATCTGACCCTCAGAAGAAGCCCCCAGCCCCATGTGCAACTGCCAGAGCTCTCTGTGCCTGCACGCCTGCCCCATCCCTCCTGCTCGCCGGCCGGGGAGGGCACTCGCCGCAAGTTCCCGTGGTCCATCTTTGCAAATGGTGGCAGGAAAGGTGCAATATTTTGCTGCAGGATCTCCCTGCAGGAAATTGGAGTGCATGGTGTCAGAGCCGATTGGGTCTGCGTGTGTGTCTCCTCCTCGCTCTTTCGGCTTCAGAAAGCAGACCTAATTTTTGCTGTCCTCCCTGATGGGAAAGGTGCACTTCTTCCTTGGAGTCACCCATGAGGATGAAGTCTCCACAAGGGGGCATAGAAATCGCACAGTATCTAACTTGTGCACCCAGTGAGGAGGAAACAGGGCCCCCAAAACCTTACTCTCACGTTTAGCTTTTTATTAACTTGTTTTGAGTCCCATCTAAAAGCATTTCCTGATCTCCATCCTCGCTCTGATGTGCACCAATCTGCTACCCCCGAGAGCACATGGCTCAGCGTCGGCAAGGGCTGGCCTAAGCCCGGCTCATTCCCAGAGAGCTGCCAATATTGCACCTTTCTTGCAGAGCAAAATGTTGAGATGTTACAGCATTTGTCCTCGGTGAGGGACTCGCCTCGCCAGCGTTTATCTAGTGTTGCTGAATGTAAAAGTTTGTCAGAAGTGTTCGACACGGTGGTGAACTTGAGATGCAGTATCCGTTTTGTCAAACCTGCCGAAGGAGGGAAGGCTCAAGTCAAGGCAGCTCTCTCTCTGGGTCGAGGTTGCTCGCTGGATCTGACTTCTGCTTCTTATGGCAGGGTATGGGTTTTTTTTTTTGTCTGTTTTCCTTTTTTAAAAAAAAAAAAAAAAAAAAAAAAAAGCCAATTTTTCCAACCAAAGCCATGTGATCCCAAAGCAAATACCTCCTGCTTCTGCCCATGCTGCACTGTTCCAAAATTTGCAGGCAATTTTTTGCATGACTGTTTTTCATCGTTTGTACAGATCCAATAATGGAAAGTGAAATAATTTCCATAAAAATAGTTGATTATAGATGTGTTTCATATGGAAAATATGTACCTGACCCAGAGGGGTTAGGAGCTGCTACTACTAATTAGCTTGAAGAGCAAAGCATGGTCCTCTCCCCGGAGGGGAAAAAAATCCAGTCTCCCTGTTCTCAGGGTATTTACAGTTTTACTGTTTAACAAATGCAAGGGGTTCCCAGCCCTCGCAGTGGGAACCATCACATGCAGAGGAGCCCGACGCCCAGCTCAGGATCACGTCTGAGCCTCCGGACGGCGTTTGCCGGCACCGGGGCTTGGCTCTCCCGACTGCAGTGGAGATGCCGTGGCGTCTGAGTCTGTGCCCTGCCAGAGCAGGTCTGCTTTCTCTGCCTCGCCGGCCGCCCGCCTGCACTCGGGTGGGCTCGGATGCCAGATGCCATGCCACTGGGCCATAAGGACGTGTGGCAGGGCTGCCAGTTGCCGCAGGGCACCAGCTGGTGGCTTTGGGAATCGTTGGACTTGACCTCAGACCTCGGCAAGGCTTTTGACTCATAGACAGGATACTGCATCTTCCTATGTCAACTCCTACTGCCGCCTTTGTTCCCCTCGTCCATCTGCCTCCGGGTGCAAGCAGAGGGGTGGACAATGGCCCGTTGGCCGGGGGAGGCTGGGAGGGCATCTAGCCATGGTTTCTACTGTCAATACAATTTTGCACAAGAGTTCTTTGAAGTGAGGTTTTCAACACTAATATCTTAAATGCACAACTGTGAATTATAACTTTTACACTCCTGTTGGTTGAATTTCCTTTAAATGAAATGAACCTGAATCTGTTGTAACTATGATTTTTTTTTTTTTTTTTAATTCTGTGTATTGCCAAATCTTTGTAAAGAGTGAAGGAATGTTCTTGCTTTCCAATGAGAATCTTTCTCCAAACGAGACTGACTCTGGTGACGTGGAGATCATACGAAGCATGCTAGTTCTGAGTGGCGAGGGGCTCAGGGTGGGCTTAGCAAGCCAGCCCCGGCCTCTCTGTAGACCCCAAGCTCAGACCCTCCAGAGTTTACAAAGCGCTTGTTGTTTCATTCCCAGCTTGTCCACTCCCTGAAACCCCTGTGCAGCTGAAGGCCGCTGCCCCGGAGGAGCTCGGGACAGGGTATCCCGCAGAGGGACGAGGGGTGCTGGCAGGGTGCCCAGGCTGGCCGGGGAGCAGGGGCCCCAAGGCTGGCGTGGCAGGACGAGGTGCTTCCCCCATCCAGTTGCACCAGCAGAGTGTGGGGCAGGTCCTTCCACCACTCTCCACTTCTGCTCCAAACCTGCAGTCATGTGCAGTTCCCTCTCATGTTCTTTTTGCCCCCAGGCACGTTCCTGCTCCGGACCGAGCAGGGGTGGGATGGTGTCGAGACCTGCACGGGGCGGTTGGAGCTGGAGCTGGCTGCTCAAGGCTTGCAGTTCTTGGCCCCTGTTGGAAGAGGGGTCGGCCACTCATTCACATTGTGCTCGCTGTTCTGTTCCTCCTCTCCTCTCCTGGACTTACTCCCCTTTTCTTCACCGCAGGGTTATTTTTTTTGTTGTTGTTGTTTTTTAATTCTTTTCTTTAAGTGCCTTTTAGTGCGGGTGGAGCTGGCAAGAGTAGGAGTCTCAGGATATGGCCCTTTGCATTCACCTCAGACCTGGAGAAAGCTCAGGGGGAGCAGGGCGAGTTGCCCATGATGGCCCACGGACATCACCCGTTGCTGCTTCTCAGCCTTCAGGGCCCAGCTCAGATGAGGATGAGATTTTGGCACTGGTGGTGTCAGGCTCTGGCTCAAATCAGCTCAAAGAAAACCAAAGAGGTAGCTTTGTGCAAGGGGCTGCTTGGGCAGCGGTGGTGCTTCCTGTGATCTCTGCAGAGCTCAGCCGAGGGGCCTGGGGGTGTGGATGGCAAAGAGCAGCGCTGCCTCCTCACGGGCGTCCTCTGTAAGTATCGGACGTGACGGAGAGCACAGCCGCGTTCTCCAGGACCCCTTGGAACATGCATCTTCCCTCTGCTGAAATACACTATCTATAGAAATCATTCCCACGTGAAAGATGTACCATATTTTATATGATCTCTAATACACACGACTGTGGTTTTAAAACTAGTACCTGTGTACCAGTTGTCAAGTTATCCAGTGTCTGGATTACCAGTAGAAAACTGGGGCTGGGGGGGGTGGGGAAGGATGCTGCAGAGAGTACCCCTTGTCGTGATGCTAACTTCAGGCTTCATCCCAAAGGTGTCTGACCAGCGTTGAGGGGTTCCTGTGGTCGTACTGTGCGCTGCCACGTGCAAAGCTGGCACAAAGCAGAAAACCAGCACGTGCTGAAAGGCTCGGTGTGACACGGACCCGGGCTTGCTGCCCGCCCTGCTGCCTGGCGCTACACTGGGGCTCTAAATAGACCCAAAGAAGTACCCGGCCCTTGGATACTGAGGGTTGGTTTGGCCCAACAGTGAAATGACAAGAATAACTAACGTGATCGAAAGCTGGGCATCTTTTCTTGGCAGAGAGAGCAGCCTTCATCCTGACTTGACCAGCAGAGAGGACAAGCTCTACGCTACAAGCTGGGCTGGGAAGCCACCCTCATCCCCGCTCTGTTATACTTGGTCCATCGGTTGCAGGTCTCTTGTTGGTGCAATCTCTGTGGTGACACTGGCCTCGCTCCCACGCGTCGGCAGCACAGGGGACTTGGTGACATTCACGGCTTCCAGGACAACCGCGCTCGCTGTCTTGCTCTTGTCCTGGAGCCTGGCTTCATGCTGGGGTGTGTTCCTCCATGGTTACGTTCACGGCTGCATCCTTGAGGCCGTGTCCAGGTGAAGGCACGCTGTTGCTGCGGGTCCAAAGCGGTACGGTTGAGCTTTTTGGTCTGTTTGTGCATATTTTCTGTTCCGTTAGAAGCTGGATGCTGAACCTAGGGAGGCCAGACCATTCCCTAGGAGAAAGCCCGGGATGTCAGGTTATCCCGGCACCCTTCTCTGAGCTGCAGGGATGAGAAGGGGGTGCTGGAAAGCTGCCTCCAGCCCTTGGTACGATACAGGTGGCGGAGGGAGGTGTTGCACAGATCAGTAGCGCTGAACTCCGTCAAAGTGACATCTTGTTCTCATTATCCTGAGGTCAGGATCTGTAGCAGTTCTGCATCTTGGAAATATGGTACTTAAAGCTGCTGGTCTTCTGTCTCCAGCTGGAAAACCTTTTTCTCCTCTCTCCTGAAGTTTCTCCTTCGGGCCCAGTTTTCCTCTGAGCAGGGCTGATCACTGGGATCCTGCAGAGGACGGTGCCCTGGCTGCTCTTGGCCCCCCAGCGCAGATTTCTGGCTAACAAAGTGATCGATGTTTAATCCTTCCCCCCGAGCAGGAGAGGTTTGGCTGTTCTTGACTGAAGTTGCCGGGCTTGAGGTTTGTCAACAGTTGTGAGCCAAGTGCTTGAAACACACGAAGGCTTGCAGGCAGCTCCGATGCTCCAGAGGTGGATTTGATGTCTCTATTGTCTTCTCCTCCTGGAAGTAGTGTGGTGGTTGGTTGATAAGAGGGTTTGTTGCGGAGGAAGGGCTTGTCCCAGCATTTAGTGCTTGGTGGAGCAGTCTAGCATCCCATTTCTGCTGCTGGGAGACCGCAGAACTTTATAAAAGGAGTTGGTGGGGTTTTTTTTAATCTTCTGGGCATCGCTGTTGTACCAAATCCTTCCAAATTCAAGTGAGAAACTTGTAGTGTCAGATGAGTAGCCTGGATCTTAGGCCTTTAGCTGGAAGTGCCAATATTGAATGCATGCCTTCTGGATTCCCCCAAAGATCCATGTGGGAGGGTGGAGGGGACTCACGGTGAGCTCTTCCATTCACAGAAGTGACAGACTGGCCGGGCCTAGGTCAGTTCTAGCATCATCCCTGCTTTAAAGTCTCAGGTCCCAGCGGGCTGGGCTGGGCTGGTTTGGCCAGCGGGTTTTCACCCAGGGTACGTGCTCTGTCCTTCGGCATCGTGCTGGCTGGGATTCAGTGATGTGGCTTTCGCGGCTGCCGCTCTTGCATTGGCCATGGCCGTTCCTCTGCTCTTCTCGCTGTGGTTTGGTTGGGTGTTCGGGAGGGCGAGAGGAAGAGGTGCAGCAGTCAGGAACGGGTGATGCTGTGGCCATCCTGCCTTCGTTCCTCACGCTAAGGGTAGGAGATGCTGCTCAAGGGACTCTGTCTTCCTCACAGACTGCGTGAAATTTGGAGAGTGGAAACCCACCAGGACCCCAGCACCAGTGCTCTGGTCCCATTTGATCCATGTTCTCCCAAGCACAAGGGTGGCTTACGAGCAGTTCGGGGTTGGGCCCCGCTGAGGGACCTCAGAGCTCGTGGCGTGTGCTTTCTCCAGCACGCAACTGCAGAGCCAGCTTCGATGCCTGAATCACAGGGGCAGGCATCTGGATGCCAAATGCATTGAATCTGAAAACCCAAATACTTGAGAAGCGTTCCTGGAAGCCGTGAGCAGCTGGTGCTCGGCAGCCAAGGTCTCACACCAAACCTTTCTCCTGCGGTCGGGCCCTTCCCGGCCGCCCCCAGCCCCCCCTTTTTTTCCTTCCCGGCCGCCCCGAGCCTCCTCCCGGCCACTGCCGGCTCGGCCTCGGTCCCCCCTGCTCCGAAGCGTGGTGGCCCTCCCCCCGCAGTGTGTTTTCGTGGCTACCTGACCCCGCTCAGCCGCTCCACCTGGCTCTTCCCCGTGTCTTATTTGCCATCGTACGTGGTCTTTGCGAATTGTATCATATTGTACATGACTTCTTGTTTCCAGAGTTGTAGTATTCTGACTACAGTATTTCCGTGTATGTACATAAACCTGACTAAGCACAACT